TTTTTTTTTCGCCGCAAAATCCAGTTTTTTTAACCAAATCGTTGATTTCTGCGTCAGAAAGTCTCTTTCTACGCTGAAAAGCGAATTTTTTCGTCCAAAATTTTTTCATTAGCAAATCTATTTCTTTGTCAGAAGCTTGATTTCTGGGCCGAAAAGTCTACTTCTTCGCTCAAGCACTCGATTTATTCGGCATAGAAAAAAAATCCAAATTCCCCCACTAAATGCTGATTTCTATTCCCGGAACAGTGCATTTTTACGATATATCTTATTCAAAAGATGCTCATAATTTTCTTGATTTCTGTTTGTTTCTGTTCGCCCGGTTGCTTTCGTATTTGCGTGCTCCACATGTCTTCCTCATTTTCACGAAGACTGCTCTGGATCTTATATACACCGGCAAGTTACGTGTCTTCGATAACTTCAGCACCACACGTTTTACCTCTTTTTTTCGTCAAAAAAAACGAAAAAAGTTGCGGATTTATAAATTTTTTTTTTTTCTTTTTTACAGAAGGATGTCATCATCGGATATAACGAAACAACCACAGGTGAAAATTGGCCATTATGTACTCAATCAGACACTTGGCGTTGGCACATTTGGCAAAGTTAAAGGTTAATCATTGACCGCGTGATTTTTTTTTTGTGTTTTTCTCCGGGGTGTGGTACTTGCGAAATAGAATTCGGCCGGTGTGGGAACAGAAGTTAACTGTTGCGGTACTTGGGAGAGGGGGGGGGGCAGAATTCGGTGCAGCTGAGGTAATTGAGAAACAAAAATCAGCCGTAGAGGTAGCTACGAATCGAGTAGTACTTGCTGCGAAGCAGAATTCGGCAATTGAGGTAATTGAGGAACAAAAATTAGCTGTTGAGGTACTATTTTGTGAAGCGGGGGGCAAGTGCTGAGGTGGTAACTGAGGGACAAATAGACGAGCCTGGAAATTATGACGCATAGACAGCGAGCCATTGGTTGGAAAGTTTTAGGCAGTTTGTCAATATATGACGTAAAATATGACAACATAGCATAGCGTAACTGCTCTGTCAAATGTTTAGCCTAATTTCAATCGATAGCAAAGTTTCTCCTTTGATAATTTGAATAGGCGTAGGAAATTTTGGCAGTAATAATTTCTGTTTTGCTATCTTCAGCATTCCGTATCAGGAAGCAAGTGATTTGTCCGGGGATAGGGTGGGCCAGTAACGCCAAACAAACTGTGTATGTTAATACACAGGAGGCCTCAAGCCCCCGGTACTCTTCCAATTTCCTTGCCAAGGATATTTATTGTTTGTATCCTTAAAATTTCCACAACATTTGTTTGTTAAAAGGAAATTCACATGTGAAGCGTGAAAACGAAGGTTATTTGTAAAATAAGAGCTACTTCTACAGTAGAGGCTAGTTTTAAGGTAGCAGGAGGAGAGAATTAAGGTAGCGGAGACCTGTGAACTATGAGTGGAGTCACCTATAAGATAGGAGGAGGGTAGGGAAGGAGGAAGAAGGGAGGGAAATAAGGTAAAGGGAACGGGAATAATGCATTTCTGCTATTTTTTAGTGGTATCTATCCTAAATACTTAGTGGGAAAAGTACAGGCAAATAATCAATATGTGCTGACGCAAAATGTCATATTACCTATTGTAGCAAATACAGGAAAGGGAGGGGCGAGAGAGGGAAAGGGGATTAAAATGAGGGTGGCGAGGAGAGATCCCTTCCGGTTTTACATAAAACACCTTAGCTGATGTTTTTCTGTGTTTTTTGAGAAAATTATTGCGAATAATTTTGTTCTGTTGTTTTGCAGTAGGTATTCATGAAGGTACGGGTTATAAAGTTGCGGTGAAAATTCTCAATCGGCAGAAGATCAAATCGCTGGATGTTGTCGGCAAAATACGACGTGAAATTCAAAATCTCTCACTTTTTCGACATCCACATATTATCCGACTGTATGTTGTTTATGCTGTTTTTTTTTTCGATTTTTCAGGTTTTCCAAGTTTTTATTAGTAATTTTACTTGTTTATATGCATTTGTTTGTTTATTTATGCGTGTTTGTGGGGATTTTTGTTTATTTGTATGCATTTTTTGGTGCATGTGTGTATGTGTGAATGTATGTGTGTATGTATGTATGAGTGCATGCATGTATGTGTAAATGTTGTATGTGTGTATG